CACTCACTCACTCACTCACACACTCACTCACACACTCACTCACACACTCACACACTCACACACTCACACACTCACACACACTCATACACTCATACACTCACTACATACACTCATACACTCATACACTCATACACTCATACACTCATACACTCATACACTCACTCACTCACTCACTCACTCACTCACTCACTCACTCACTCACTCACTCACTCACTCACTCACTCACTCACTCACTCACTCACTCACTCTCTCTCTCTCTCCTTGGCCGACCGCCACCTGCACCTACTTGTTTCGACTCCATTCACAGCCCTGCGTCTAAACTTAGCCTATTCCGTCCGCTGAAAAAAGTAACAAACACACAAAAATATACTCAAGCCAGATCTCTCTCCAAAGGACAAGGGCTTTCATTCTCAATGATAAGTGGTAACGAAGAATTATATTCATTAAGTGGAAATCGACGGGAAGACTAAACTAACAAGCAGATAGGAAATGAGTATAGGGATGTGTGTATGTGTATATGTATAATGCAGGTCTGCTATGCATATCGTACATATTATACACATTGTATATGCGTTTTATATACATACATACAAACACACACCTATATACATAAATATTATATACATAAGAGCATATAAACATATATATACGGACACACACAAACATATCAAACAAATAAATGTATGTGTATATATTCATATGTATGTATAATATATATGTATACACATACACATACACACACACACACACACACACACACACACACACACACACACACACACACACACACACACACACACACACACACACATATACCTATATCCATATATCCATATATCCATATATCCATATATCCATATATCCATATATATATATATCACAAGTATATATACACTCATAAATACATTTACTTGTATACATATGATTATGACGATGACGGTAACAACAACAATAATAATAATAATAATAATAATAATAATAATAATAATAATAATAATAATAATAATAATAATAATAATAATAATAATAATAACAATAATAATAACAATAATAATAACAGTACTCTTTCAAACAGCAATACAAGCGAGCAGCAGTGGACGCAGAGGCAAGCACTACCGTCGACAGCGCCGTCAGGAGGCGAGTGCGTGATGCGGAAACCATTATCTTCCAGAGATTACTGCATCTTACAGTTGTTGAGGCAGCACCGGATTTCCTCTTAGAAATCTCTTTAAAAGTCTTAAATTGAGATAAACTTAACTATTAGCTCTACATATTGGTAAGATTTGAAATAAAAAAAAAAATAACAAGTAAAGGCTGAAAGGATTTTCAAATGCGATGTAAAAATGGCAGTTAACTGAATCGAGTTGAGACAAGCACGACGAGTCTATTTCTGTCGAACCTGTGTTAATTTTTATATGTATAGTATTTTATTGTACGTCTGTTTGGTTGAAGCTAACAGACTCTCCTATATAAGCGAGAAAATGGAAATTAAATTCTAATACGTTTGCAAATATTTACACATGTACCTCTGCAAATGCACTCTCCTGATTCTTTGTAAAGACACAGACTTCTGCGTTTGCAAGTGCACACTCCTGTACACGGACAAGACACACACACCCCACGCGCCCATTTGAGGGTATTTGTGTCTCTGCCATCATCCGCCCGGGGCAGTTGGGTACCTGCTCAGTGTTGCCAGCTGCTTCCCGGGCTTTCTCTTCCCTCCTTCCTCTCCAGATAATACAACGATGACCTTTAGAATTCTCACTTTTATCTCGAATCTTATCGCTTCCTGATACAAAAAATACGTAAATGCCTTGTGAATCACCTTTTTATTACCTATTATATCAAGTTCGTGCAACAAACCCTAAAAAAAAAAATCAAATGTAACCACTTCCGAGATACAAAAATAAACAAAACCAGAACAATTACCCACGCAAGGTGCGACCCACGCCATCATTACCCCACGTAAAGCCTCTTCAAGTCCTCACCCTACATACTATTTGCATATATCAACAACTCCCACCAACATACTCCTGTTGCGTTAAACAAAGGCCAAGCTAGCTGCCTCTGCGCCTTAGGTCTGGTTACTCTCGCCGGCTTGTGCGTTCGGGCCGGCGCCAGAGGAGCGCGATTTTGTTCTACGGAAAGGAAAAGGGATCCATGCAACTAGCATTTGCTTCTTTATTTTATTTTCCATGTGGACAGTTATTCTAATATATATTCCTGGCTGAAAACACACTGGCAATACGGGCAGTGTATGTATGCATAATTATAAATAGGTATATAAGTATAGATGTATATGTATGGATATGCATATATATGTATGAGAATGTGTATGTATGTACATACACACATATATGTACAAACACACATGCATGTGTGTATGTACATGCATGTGTGTATGTACATGCATGTGTGTATGTACATATATATGATGCATTACATGCCATGTACATGATGTGTGTATGTATGCACATGTGTGTATGTACATATGTGTGTATGTATGCATGCATGTGTGTTATGTACATCATGTGTGTACATGCATTGTGTGTATGATGCATGTATGTATGCATGCATGTGTGTATGTACATGCATGTGTGACATGCATGTATGTATGCATGTACATGCATGTGTGTATGTACATGCATGCATGTGTGTATGTACATGCATGTGTGTATGTACATGCATGTATGTACATGCATGTATGTACATGCATGTGTGTATGTACATGCATGTGTGTATGTACATGCATGTGTGTATGTACATGCATGTGTGTATGTACATGCATGTGTGTATGTGCATGTATGTACATGCATGTATGTACATGCATGTGTGTATGTACATGCATGTGTGTATGTACATGCATGTGTGTATGTATGTGCATGGTGTGTATACATGCTATGTGCAATGTACATGCATGTGTGTATGCATGTGATGTTGTATGTACATGATGTGTGTATGTACATGCATGTGTGTATGTGCATGTGTATGTACATGCATGTGTGTATGTACATGCATGTGTGTACTGTACACACATGATGCATGTGTGTATGTACATGCATGTGTGTGTGTATGTACACATGTGCATGCATGTGTGTATGTACATGCATGTGTGTATGTACATGCATGTGTGTATGTACATGCATGTGTGTATGTACATGCATGTGTGTATGTACATGCATGTGTGTATGTACATGCATGTGTGTGTACATGCATGTGTTGTTATGTACATGCATGTGTGTGTATGTACATGCATGTGTGTATGTGCATGTGTGTATGTACATGCATGTGTGTATGTACATGCATGTGTGTATGTACATGCATGTGTGTATGTACATGCATGTGTTGTATGTACATGCATTGTGTATGTACATGCATGTGTGTATGTACATGTGTGTATGTACATGCATGTGTGTGTATGCACATGCATGTGTGTATGTACATGCATGTGTGTATGTACATGCATGTGTGTATGTATGCATGTGTGTGTACATGCATGTGTATGTCATGCATGTGTGTATGTACATGCATGTGTGTATGTATGTGTGTGTACATGCATGTGTGTATGTACATGCATGTGTGTATGTACATGCATGTGTGTGTATGTACATGCATGTGTGTATGTACATGTACATGCATGTGTGTATGTACATGCATGTGTGTATGTACATGCATGTGTGTATGTGCATGCATGTGTGTATGTGTGTGTATGTGCATGCATGTGTGTATGTGCATGTGCATGTGTGTGCATGTATGTGCTGTGCATGCATGTGTGTATGTGCATGCATGCATGTGTGTATGTGCATGCATGTGTGTATGTGCATGCATGTGTGTATGTACATGTACATGTATGTGTATGTACATGTATGTGTGTATGTACATGTATGTGTGTATGTACATGTATGTGTATGTACATGTATGTATACATGTATGTGTGTATGTACATGTATGTTTGCGTGTGTGTATTCGCACGAGTGTGTGTGCGCGTGCGTGTGTATGTATTAGTGTGTATGTATGTGTGCGTGTGCGTGTGTGTGTATTATGTCGCGTGCGTGTGTATGTGTGTGTGTGCGTGTGTGTGTGTGTGTGTTGTGTGTGTGTGTGTGTGTGTGTGTGTGTGTGTGTGTGTGTGTGGTGTGTGTGTATTCGCACGAGTGTGTGGTATTGTGTATGCATTCGCGTGCGTGTGTGGGCGCGTGTGGTGTGGTGTGTGTGTGTGTGTGTTGTGTGTGTGTGTGTGTGTGTGTGTGTGTGTGTGTGTGTGTGTGTGTGTGTGTGTGTGTGTGTGTGTGTGCTCGCGCGCGCGTGCGTGTCCCCATCCAACCCACACCCACAACAACTGAAACTTGCATCACGATGTTGCAAACTGTTAATGGAGAGCTTAAGACACTAGCATACATAATTAATTGACACTCGCCTTTGCAATATCAAACATTGACGACGGGTTTCTACATGTGTCTGTATATGTACCTAATCTGGCTTGTAATTACCTGAGCAAGGAAAATTCTGAGATGACTAACACATAATGTTAAAGACAACATATTGTTAAAGACACGACATCCGTTATCGGTCGACTCTATAGCAGCGATGGCCTGCAAGAAACAGCACATCTTTTCTCAGTAATAATCGTCTCTAAAAAGAATGACATTTATACCGAAGGTCATGAAATTCCTCTACGTATCATCTGTGTTTGATGTTGAAATTCTTTCCGACTTTACTTTCAAGCAGGAAAACAAATGAAAACCCGAAAAAATAAGGAAAGAATGAGAGGAAAATAAGCAACACAAAAGAGAGATGAGAACAAAAGGGAGCAGTCAAGGTAGGGAACTGTGATTTTCGGGTCCGATCCACCGAAGCATCAGCAAGGACAGAGTTCATACAATGTCCCTTTGAATCATGCCATTAAGCAAAGTCTGCATATGGTAGCATGGATAACGAAGAGTTGAAAATAACAATCAATAGTGCATTCAAATAACTTCAACAAAAAGGTATCAACTTACCCTGATGTTACCGCAGAGACTCTCGAGTTCGTCCTCCTTGGTGACCAGCCCTTGCTGTGACCCGGACACCAGCGTGACCCCCACGAGGGCGAAGTAAGGGGCTGATTCCCCGAACACCAGTCGTTTGGTAGCCCTCCGGCGCGCCTCCGCCCACAGGGGAGCCGAGACCTTCCTGACGAAGCCCTGCACCAGACGGGTTGTCACGGGGCGCAGGCGACTGACCACACCGCTCGCGGCGAGGGAGGAGCTGCTCCCTACACTAGCACCATTTTGACTTCCGACGAATTCCGCCACCTGGACACCTACCCCTCCACCCCCTTCACTCTGCCACTGCAAAGGGAGGGGGAATCATTAGAAAAGGGCTACAATGGCCACATAGGGAATGCTGGAGAAATATGGTGGAAGAGGAGAGAAGAGGAGAGGAGGGGGAGGGAGGGAAAGGGGAGAGCGGAGGAAAGAGGGAGAGAAGGAGGGGAGAGTGAAAGAGAGGGAGAGGGAAGATGATTAACTTGTCTACCAATAGATCTAAGATGACTGATATTTTGTTCTCCTGGACAATCCTGCTCTTCTTACTTAGTAAAGATCTAAAGGTCACTGACTAGGCCTATGGATGTGTTGAAAGGTTGTAATCAATTCTGGAAGTATTTATGTTTGGCTCTATATGGCTTGCAGAAATCTCTTAACTATACCAAAAATCAAGTTAACTCACAAAGTTAACTGAAACTCACCATATAAATTATTACTTCTGGGAAAAATATATTCACTTTCGTTATTTTTCAATATTTGAAAGATTACAATCCATTTTCTAGACTTCAGCACTGCTTACAATACATATTCAGTACATGGTGGTAAATGATAGTCAAGTCACTGAAGATGGTTTATAAAATCCCAAAACATTTCTAGTGTATTATTAACAATAAATCCTAATCTCCAATGATTAACAAAATTGCTTATGCTTTCTATTTCTTTACTTCCCACTATCTCTGTGTCCTTCACACACTATTGCTCTACTCTACTATATATTAAGTAAAATTGAGCTTTGACTGAACCCTTATTTAATAGCAGACCACCATGGTAGTCCACAAGCTCTATCTTGCTAGAATATGTGCTGAAGCTATATTATTCTTTTGCCAAAGCACTGAAGGCATGAAGGCACAGCAAGCACTTGAATAACAGAAGGTGCATCTTTTATATGGAAATCAGAGTTTAAATACCCTTTCTACCAATTTTTCTTCTATCTAATTGTGTAATTTTATGTGTTCTTTACACATATTACTTCCTTCTTTTCCTCATCACTGAAATCCTTATTTGAAGATTTATCAAAGTTTATTTCTACAGTATATCTGTCCTTCATATAAATCAAAAGCTTCAGAGGCATTAATGCATGCATCAGTTAAATTTTTTGTGCATTTAATGATATCAATAACAATCTATATTTCCATCTTACTTTTGATGAAAGGAGTGACAAAGTGAAACACTCCTTTCTAAAAATTCAAGTGGCACGAGATTGAAAAAAAAATCCTTAACCACTCTATCTGAAATACAAAACTACTGCTAGACAATTCTGCAAAATATTAACATCAATTTTCTTTAGTCCAATTTTTTTTTTTTTCTTTCATATCAATTAGAGCTAAAATCCCTACAACTTACTGATAACATGTACATGCCTCATATACATAAAAATCCAAGCTATGAGAATCATTAACCCTTTATTAAATTATCTACCTTTATTAAATTATCTACTCATGAAGTCTTTTTGATTACCTTAAATTACTTATAATAGACTACATCGAAATGTGCTGAGGCTTCCATACTATATGATCTGGCAAAGGCCAAAAACATTCTTTAAAATAAGTTTCATATTGATTACTTCTAAAATCCCTAAAACTTATAGATAGTACGAACATGCCTCATATATATCAGTGTAGCAAATACATTAACATGCAAGCTATGAGAATCACTAATTCTTTATAAAATTATCTAGTCATGAAGTCTTTTTGATTACTTTAATGACAATTACCTATAAATGGACCACATCGAAATGTGCAGTGGCTTCCATATTTTATGATCTGGCAAAGGCCAACATAGCATCAACATTAATAATTTGGCAATAATGTTTGCACTAGTTCCTTATTTGAGGATATATTGTCAGGAAGTTCTATAAGCTCTGAATATAGGTCATGGACGTAGCTATGTTCAAAATGAAGATGCCAACGGTTCACCTGATGCATAGCTCTAAGGACTTCGAAAAATGATGGATGATTTGCCTCAATGCTGCAGTGCAATATATTTTGCATCTAATTGTGTTATTTTCCAGTTTTATTAAGATCATCACAATAGGTTTTCTCTCTCTCTGTGCAGTTTTACTCTTGATAATTATCATAAAGTTTAATGTGGGTGTATTTGATACTTCATGTTTTTCTAGCTTAATTGCAAATATCAAAACTATCCATACAGTATATAAAAATGATATAGCAGCTGCTTTAAAATTATTCTCATA